ACTTTTTCAAAAATTTTGAATTTTTCAATTTCAGTGAATGCCTTCTCGATTTTTATGTTCCCCTGATACTTTTTCAAAAATTTCGAATTTTTCGATTCCAGCGAATGCCTCCTCGATTTTCATGCTCCCCTGATACTTTTTCAAAAATTTCGAATTTTCACATTTCAGTGAATACTTCCTCCATTTAAAAAATCGAAGTATTTGAAGTAAGATGAATAATTTAATATAATATACATAAGAATGTTTCATGAAAATTCACTAAAAATATTTATATTATATTATTTATATTATCATATTTAGATAAAACCAATGAAATCATTACATTTAAAAAATTCGGAGATCGTTTCGGTTTTCTTTTTTGTTACTAGTTGAATTTATAATGTTGATACCATAATTGTGAGTGATTTCTATTCTAGGGTGAATGGCATAAGAAAATTAAGAATCGTTGATGCCAGTATTTTACCCAATCCAATATCCGGAACGCCGAATTCCGTGATAATTGCGATCGCTGAAAAAGCAGCGGATGTGATCCTCAACGTGCCATTAAAAACAGTGAAATAAACATTACAATACGTTAAATAATGATTAATAATCGCAATAATTAATATTAATTAGAATTTTATATGGGAGAATTGTAAAATAATATTACAAATTAAAGTCTTTTTATTATTTTGCGGGTACCTCTTAAAGTAACACAACAAAAAATATTGCAATTGAATAAATTATAGCTTCGAAATATTCCAGCTAAAAATATTAGAGCGTTCACCTTCTTCTGGACACTGGAACCCTTCATGCCACGACTTTCAGTGATGCATTTCTGAAAAAAAATATGCAACTCATATTAATATACCGTTTTGTCTTTGAATTTTATTACTGACACTTGAAATATTCAATATAAATAATTTTTTCTGTAATTGAAAGAATATTTATTCATAAGCTTTTAGTTGAAAAATTTTTTAAGTGCTCTATAATTTTTATCTGAATTTACATGTTATTTTTACTAAATATTTCCCTTTCTGGAGTAATTGTTATTAACTACTCCATGTATAAAGATAAAAATTAGTTGCAATTATTTAATTGAAATGACTGACTCCTAAAAGTTAATATCAGAATTTTTCCTCATTAAGACAATGAACATTACCTAAATATTGATTAATGAAGAATATAACAGCGAATCCAGAAGCTGTTGCTAAAAACTGAACGAGTCCGGATGATTGTTTGGATCTGTTGTGCCATCGTGATCTCTCTCGAGGTAGAACTTCGCTGACTGTTACATAAAGTAGAGTTCCACCAGCTAGTCCTTGTAAAACCGAGAGAAAGATTTTCCCAGATTCAGTATTGACCTAGAAATTGAATCAATCAAAATCATTGAATGTAAATCAAAATGAAATGAGATTGAATTGAAAAATATTCCAGAAGTAATTATTATGAATGATTAATTCCTCCCACT